CAGCACTCGTGTATACTGGTCATACATAACACTGGATCCCATAGACAGTCGAATACTTGATCCTACCCTAAGCCCGCAACTAGACAAGGAACATGAAATAAGGCCAAATCAAACATTCTCTGGCAATAAAATCTTAGTTATGTACAACTATACTGCATACACTAAGCAATTACAATAATGATGTCAATATCTTACAAGAAATAACACTAGGCTTTCAGGCATCATATATCAAGCAATTCTATCATGCAATTCATGAAGATCCCTAACCTACCACTAGCATGTTGTTCTACCATAAGCATAATATCAAATAACAATATGGTAACTTGGGGCATACTCTTTTTCTCCGGCTGACCGTACACAATGCTTCCTTCCTTCGTTACTTTTGAAAATAATTTTTGAAAACTCTTTGCAGTTCCCTAGTTCGAGTCTGGATTCACACAAATGTTCATCCAATTCTCTTAAACCCAAGGATCTGATACAAACTAGTAACACTCCAAAAATCAAGATAAATTTTAAAATTTCAAAATAAACCATTAATAAACATTGTTTACAAATAGTGTCATTGTTTCAAAAGCATTATTTCAAATCAAAGTTTTCCCAAGACCCGATGACATAAAACAGGAAGCTGTGTACAATCACGCCTTTGCCTTCCCACGATCCTCAGAAGTACCTAAAACGATAAACCAAAATTGTAAGCCAAGGCTTAGTGAGTTCCCCCAAAGTACCAACACACACATACATATAACAGCATATACTGGGTCCACAACCTATGTCTGGACTACCCTACAAGGTCCTCAGCATAGGTCTAGATTACCCCCGAGCCCACAGTATGAGTCTGGCATGCCATTCGGGCCCTTAGCTTATATCTGGATTGCACCTGGGTTTGTTGGCTACCGCACAAAGTAGTACAACCTCAACCCAACACAATATGTCGACATATGTAACAGGTAAACATAACACAAAACCAACAAATACAGATAATCATGCAGATCTACTAATCAGTTAAAAACTAGCATAATACTATCCTAACCATGATAAATAATCTAGTGGGTCGACATTGGTGCCTTCGACCCACGGGTACATGGAGGAAGACTTACCTATCAGTCTGAATGCAGTCTAAATAAATCTCTGCTCCGACAACCGGATCAACCCAACTCCTAAATATCAAAACTTTTCCCATTCTAAATTAATAACATTTTTCCCAAAATACCCTTGGTCAAAACTGGTCAAAATCAACAAGTCAACCGAGTCAACACAGCCGAGTCAGCTCAGGCCTCGTACGCGGGGTGTACTTCGGATGTATGTGGGGCATATTCGAGGTCCGAGGCATCGGGGCTCAACCTGCGTACGCAAAGCGTACCATTTGGTATGCCCAACACACGCAACAATCTTCCTTCTTAACCACTTAAGAGCTTAATACTTAGACTTTTTACGCCCACATGCATATCCAAGGGGCAAAGTACCACTAAGAGTCATAATTTTTCCAACTTTATGATTTTTCATGCTCAAGAAGTGCTTAATACCAACCAACTTAACAACCTAACACCTAAAGACCTTCTGGAGCATACATGGGGAAGAACTAAGCATCAAAATCTCATTTTTATGTACACAACTTTAAAACGTTTAGCTAATAAATTCATAGCAAAGTAATAAAATAAAGTAGAAGAAAAGCAACCTCACTGCTTTCATTCTTTTCCTCTTTCGGTCCAACCAAGCTTCTCCCTCTTCGACCCAGTTAGGCACCGGATGTGCATCTCCTTTCCTGCTTCCGTTCGTTCTTCCTTCCCATCGATCAGACAATAAACGGATCCCCTCCTCTTTGTAATTGATTTCCTCCACCGAACCATATGTTGTTGCCTCCGATTTTCGTTTTCCTTTGCTCGACAGATCAACCTTGCCCTCGCTCGTTTCTGACTGCTTTCGTTACGTTCTTTCTCTTTGCCTGGTCAGTCAAAAGAATGAAGGGGACACAAAAGCCCTAAATCCATTTATTTGTATTAAACGATCTAAATCAATCCTTTGTTGAACCATTAAAACAAGACAGCCCCTATATGTACAAGGTTATACCAAAACAACCCTCCATTTGTTTAGTTAAATCAAAACAATCCATTCAATTGTTTGGTTTAATAAAAACAATCCCATTTTTGTTGGTTAAGTAACAAAAATAGTCTCGGTGGTTTGTTTTAAACTCAAGAAGGAATAAATTGCAGTCTCTCACGTCAAACTTCACGAAATCAATCCAAATACAAAACCACGATTTAAGGGTGAGTCCATATGGCCACGTTTTATCTTTTTAACAATTTTTTTTTGGGGGGAGGGGGGGGGGGAGTACATACATGTCTTATTATTGTGAAAATGTGATCCTATTTTTTGTTCATTTCAAGCAATGGTCATAGGATTTGGTTCTTGAAATGTTGTTTGGGTCATTTTAGGTTACTTATATGTTTTAAATGTACAAATGCTTTAAATCAAATGTTAAACATATAATGACAACCTAGAATGCTTATTTTAGTTTTATATGAAAAATGAACTTAAAATGTTTTTGGTTAAATGAAATGTAGTCTAAGATATCTATATATATTATATATATATATAATATATATATATATAAGATATATATATATATATATATATATATATATATATATATATAGGGAGGGTTAATGGAAAACAAAAACCCTAAAATCATAAAAATGCAATAAAAAAATAAATACTAGATATCACATCCTTTTTTTTGATATTTTTTCCCTAAAAATCGCAGGTTTATTTACAAAATCGCTGAAAAAAAAAATAAAAAAATCGATTTTTTTTTTGGTTTTTTTTTTCAAAAAAAATTTCAGCGAAATAAAGAAAAGCTACGAAAATTCATAATATAAAAAAAAAAAAGATTTGTGATGTATAAGTATTTTTTATGCATTTTTATGCTGTTTCGGGTTTTTTGTTTTCCATATATATATATATAGATATATATAATATCATATATCTATATATATCTATATCTCTTATTTATTCTTTTATTTGATAAAAACATATGTTTTCTGTATTTTCATAAATAATTTGTACAAAATGGTCAAAACATGATTTTATATAAAAAAAAGCTATGATTTTTATATAAAAATGGGTTTTATACAAAGAATGGTCCAAAAATGTTTTATTTGGATTTTTATATAAAATAACATAAAAGTTTTGTTCATAAAAGTTTTATATAAAAACAGAACGTTAGACGTGCCTAACATTTTCTTATAATTATAATATTATATATATGTATATATATGCATAAATCCATATTTTTGGTTAAATGGTGTATTTTATATGCATATATTAAAACGTTTAACAAATTTTAGCATAAAATAAAGCTTATACACGAAACAATGGTTCGATCACATACTTATATATTAATAAATATATTAATATGTGTTTGAGCAAATTCCCAAATCACAATATATATACATTCTTGTTGTTAAAACAATGTAGTATAGATGTCGTTGATGAACCAAACCATGAGGAATAGAACAAGTACAGATGTGAATAAAACTAGTACATATATGAACACTTTTGACTTTTGAGAATGAAAGAATGGTTGTGCTAATTTTGACTTTGAAGTCCCATACCCACACACCTTTTGACCTGGGAAACTGATTATTTGCCAAATCATTTTCATAAAGTCTCTCCAAAAATAATGGCAGATTAAGAAAACAAAAATAGTAATAGTAAAATGGGCTAAAACAAAATAAAACTTATACATAACCCATTTGATAACCATTTTGGGCCTTCGATCATTAATGTATGGGCTTAATCTTTGTTCGAATTTTGCGAACCACCACACAAGTCACAAAACAAAGGGGTTTATCAAGCAATTCAAGAACTCAAGAACCCTAGGAGATCTCGTTCGCTCCGACTTCCGATGGCTTCCAAGGCGGTGAGGAAGATGATCTACCACCAGAAACTGCGCAACCACCTCAAAGACAACACGCAAATCCTCGTCGTCGGCGCTGATAATCTCAGTGCTAACCAGATTCAGATCATAAGGAAAGGATTAAGAAGCGACGCAACCGTTATGATAGGTAAAAATACCTTGACGAGTCGCTCAATCGCTATGCATGCTCCGGCGACCGGAAACACCGCTTTTCTGGGTCTGATTCCTCATATTGTGGGGAAAGTTGGATTGGTTTTTACCAGAGGTGATCCGGAGGAAGTTAGTGAAACTGTTGCAGGATATAATCTGCAGCCGTGGTTGTGTTCATCGATGGATATTGGAATTTGTTCTATGTGGCAATGGCTGCTGAGTACTCATTTACATTTACTGAGCAAATCGAGTGAAGTTTCAGAATAAACAGATCGAGCCTTCATTCGACAAAGATGATGGATAAATTTTCTTTGATATATGATCTAATTCGTCTTTTTGTTTTCCAAGTCCGAACCATGTGTTTGTGTAAATAATATTTGCCATTGATCATATGTCCTCTTGTTTTGTTGAAAATGAAATAAGGAGGTTTTTCTTTTGATACCATCTCCAACATTGTTTTCTTAAAAAATGGAGTAAATATTGGTTTATCTCTAACGGTATTTTATTTTTAAAATAAAAAATATTAAATTTTAGTATATTCATTTTTGGCTTATCACTAGCCCAACAACTTGTATTTTACCGGTCATTTTGATACTTTTACCACTGCTTTGTCAAATACCAACTAAGCATGTGAGTCAACAATATCCCTAGAATCTTGAAAACCTGCAACAACTACAATCAAACATACTCCTCTAAAAATCTTTACCCACAAGTCAATCAATCAAACCCAGATTCATATTCCTTATTTTCATCATCAAATACTTCAGCTCCATCCATGTACCCATCACTCGAGACCAAAGATCTCGCTGATAAACTGTTCCTGGACAATATTCAAAGCCATGAACAATTCAGTCGCTGCATCCAGATCCCAATTCGAATATTTCATTTCAGTAACCATGAACTTCACCGGACTTCAAATCGCTTTCATGGTGTGCTTGAGAGCTAATACGAAATTGGTTAGAGTCAATTTTGAGAAATGAAGGTTTTCGTGACGCGATAAAGGGCCACTCGAATTCAATCGCCTCTCGATCAATATTGGTCCCTTTCAGCTTCCTCCAATTTCTCCTTCAAAAACACAATCTCAGAATCCTTGAGTTGACTCTGGTTCTCTAGCTTCTTTCGTATTAATGACCCACATCTCCTACCTCTTTTCCTCTTGTTTGCAAATCGCTGGCAATATAACGAACAATCTTATCCCCTTTCCACCGATTCAAATGCCCCCTGTAACAAAAAATAGATTTAAAGCCACAAAATTATTAATTAGACCTAAACTTCACACTTCAGGACTTCAATTTCATCTCTACAGTCATCAATTTCAAAATCAAAATTCAGCAATCGGTTACGAAGATGGAACGAACTTCTTCAAAAATTTCACTGGAAGATGACTACATAACGAAAACGAAGAGAAGAGAAGCATGGAGGAAACGGAGTTGGAGTCGGTTGCGAGGTTATTCGAGAGCAGGAAGGTTCCGCCATGGCAGAACCAGCTTAAACTTCGTACTTTTGTCTTGAGTTTTATTTTGGGGATTCTGTTCACGTGCATCGTTATGAAGCTTAATCTCATAGCCGGAACTATAAACTCCCGACCACAGAACTCGTCGTTTCACAGCAGATCGAGGAGTAAGAGAACCAGAGCACCATCAAATAACAACTGGACATCAACACCACCGGTACCTACCACTCTAACCTCCGAAACATCCAAAACGAAGAGAGAGAATTACGCGTCGACTACTTCTTCATCCTGCGACACGACGTCGAAAACCGGCGTCGTTATGCGTTGCACTCACTGTGCATCAGAGAAGACGCCACAATGAAGAACATGTCTGTTTGGTTCGAATATGTAACGCTTGTTAGGGTTTGTTGACTATTTTAGTTGACTAAATGACAAGTGGCATATCAAAATTGATGATTAGGAATGGGTTCACCGGGTGACCTTCATATTCTTGATAATGACCGGTAAAATACGTACCCTTAAAAGGCCAAAAAAAAGTCATGAGTGACCATTTAAACCAATATACGAAATATTGTTGGGCTATAGTGACAATAACCCTTCATTCTTTTTACCAATCTTTTAATAAGGTCGCAATGGTTTTATGTATAATGGTGTGTCATGGCTATGAAGTTTGTATTTGGCTCTGAAGTTTGTATTTGCCATCAATTTTTGAAAAAAAATGCCCCCTTAAATCACGTTTTACAAACTCAAAAAAGTTGAAGGCCTAATATTGTCGTAAAATCACCTTTTACATTATTTTAAACCTTGCTTACGACATATATACATTATCAAATGTATTATCACGCCGACTAAAACAAAACCCACAAAAATAAAGAGCTTGATTTCAATGTTTATATATATATAATATATATATATATATATATATATATATATATATATAATATATATATATATAGGGAAAGGATCAAATGAAACACCTAAAAGGTTGAGAACGCGAGAACAAGTATATTCATTTGTGATTTCATGTATTCATTTGTGGAGAAATGATAAATTTTTACGCACAATCAACATGAATATGCTTTTTCTCTTCAATTGAAATTAAAGGTGTAAAAATTTATCGTTTCTCCACAAATGAATACATGGAATCGCAAATGAATATACTTTGTTCTCGCGTTCTCAACATTTTTGGTGTTCTCATTTGATCCTACTCATATATATATTATATATATATATATATATATATATATATATATATATATATATATATATATATATATATGTTCAAATGTTTCTAGCAACTATTGTGTGCATGAATGCACCAATAGGAAATTAGGAAAAAATAAATCATTAAATAAATCATTTAAGGGTATTATAGTAATCTTTGCATAGTTAATTATGGTAGATCAACAACAATTCCTTATATCACGCAAGAAGCAAAGAGATAAATATAGAACATTAGCCCTAAATCGATTTCACCGCTTCCCACCACTCCTGTAGATCGATTTCACCATTTCTCTTTGTCTTCTCTATTTGTTCCATATTCAAGCCCTAAATCGATTGACGAAATGAATGATACGTGTATGGCTGTTACAATTGTAGAAAGAAAAGAGAGAGAAGGAATTCAGAGATTGAATATGGAACAAATAAACTAACTGTTCAATTTTCTTCATCGATCCTTTTCATCCGTCATCATCATCATCATCATCATCATCCTGTGTTGCCGCTTCTCCTTCTCCTTCTCCACCGTCGGGAAATCAATTTTAAAACCCTATCAGTAAGACCAACCCCTTCACCAGTTTGTCATCGTCAATCAAGGAACCCATATCCCTTTTAATGTTTATTGTTCTGTATATGAAAGACACTTGCATTTGTGTTTGATAGCCGCAAGAAAAAAATCAACAACCTTTCCCACTTATCCGAACCAATTACCAGGTGAGTATGGTGTGTGATTTATGATTCTTGAATATTTAATTGATTTTTAATTGATTTTTGGGTTGTAAACAAGATTTGGTTTCGTTTGACAGGAATTGGTGGCTTATTCAGGTGCAAGACAATTGAGGAGTACAATATTGCTGCTTCTGTAAGCATTAACACTTTTCCCTTTTTGCCCTTTTCTCCTTTCTGTAAATCTAATTGTTTATTTCATGATTTGTTTTTGTATGTGATTAATTTAGATGAATTCAATTAGTATGTTAGTGTGTTTGGCTGTACTTTATCTTATTGCATGTAAGGTGTTTGTGAAAATGTCTAAAAGAGAACTTGATATAATATATACAATTTGTTTGATCGGTGGGTTTGGATGTGCATTATCTCATGATTGATTTTGTATACGACTGATTTTAGGTGAATTTGATTAGTGTGTTAGTGTGTTTAGTGTGTTAGTGTGTTTGGTTGTACTTTATCTTATTACATGCTAGGTGTATTCTAGCAGAATGTATTCTGCTACTTGTATTTCACTTAACAAGATCTGATATGTGTATACATGCTTGTATGTGTTCAATAGGTCTTTGATGGACATAGCCAAAGAACAAAACATAAACAATAGAATGAGAAAACACAATATTCTTTTAGAATGAGGTTAGTAACACTCATCAATTTGATGCCTATTATTCTGACAAAATTAGATTTCAATCTCCTTATTTGTCAAGATAGGAAAAGTAAAAACATTGAGTGATGTATTTTTTGTCATATAGAAGAAAATAATATGATTTAAGTGTATTCTGTAATGTATTCTGTCCGAATTTATTTGTATAAATGCATTCTGTCGGAATGTCTTTAAGAATGTTTGTTGACAAGTATATTTGTTTAACTGGTAATAATGAGTAATGTATGTTATTCTTTTAGAATGCCTTCAAGAACGAATCAAATATTGATCATACCAGAGAAAGACTTGGAATGAAGTTAAAAAAAAAATAAGTATTGTGGCGATTAAAACTATAACTAGTAGAATGTATTCTATGTATTCTGTTAGAATGTATTTTATGTATTCTGCCATAATGTATTATATGGATTCTATCATATTATATGTATTCTGCCATAATATATAAAGTGAGAGGAATTGCAAGTAACATGCTTTTAACCATTCTTCGTTTTTTTTTTTTTTTTTTTTTTTTTGTATTTGTGATAGGAATGGCTGGAATAACGGGTTGAAGACATGATAGGAATAGACTCTCAGATCATGACCATTGATTATATTCCATCCGATTGTCCAGATCTATGCATTCTGGCACACAATAGATGTAAGAAAGAAAATAACCTAGCCCTATATATATATATATATATATATATATATACATATATATATACATATATATATACATATATATATGTATATATATCTATACATATATATATGTATATATATATAATATATATATCTATATATCTATATATATATATGTATCTATATATCTATATCTATATATCTATATCTAGATATATATGGTGGATGGAATATACATTACAACGCCACCTAAGATTAAGTACTAAATTTCTACACTGTGTAATTTTATCTTAATAAATATACCCGGTTCGGTTTTCACTTGGTAAATATATCATTCCCTATAACATTTATCTACTCCATTATCATTTAACCATCTGTATTTTCTTTTCTCCATTATCATTTATTACTTCAGCCCAGTGAATATTACTATTTTCCACCATCACGAAGGTCGAAGATAAATCAATATTCTTGCTTCCATATCAAAATTATTTTTCAATCTTGAATCTGCAGCTGCAAGTGTTAATCGTAAATCCTCTAATTGCAAAATTTAGCTAATAAAACGACGTAGTTTCATGAGGTTTAGTACCTAAG